GCAGGCACATATTCCTGACATTTTATTTGTCTAATTCTTACTTTGCAAAGGCTTTTCACACCTGCAGTTTTATTAGTTCTTTCAATATCAAGAAGCAGAAGTGTTGTGATTATCTGATATACTTGAAACATGTTTTGTTCGCAATAGGTATTTAATAAGTGTATTTTTAAATGTTAAAAAAAAAACAAGTTGTGAAAGTGGAGAGGAAAAAAAATGATATTTGAGGGCCTTACTACTTGCCAGTACTATATATCCCATGTCAAAATCTGTGTTAGTCTCTKYGACCAAAAGACTTAATAAGAACACCTTAGAAGAGGAAAAGTTTATTTTGGCTCTGGTTTCAGAGGTCCAGAACATGGTTGGCTGGCTGCATAGCTCTGGGCCCAAGCTGAGGCAAGCCATCATGGCAGAAGGGTATGGCAGAGGAAAGCTGCTCGGGACTTGACAGCCAGGAAACAGAGAGAGCTCTGCTCACCAGGGACAAAATATAAACCGCAAAGTGACACCCCTAGTGACCTGTTTCCCCTAGACATACTCTACCTGCCTAGAGTTACCACCCAGTTAATCCATCCAATCGAATGAATCCACAGATTCAGTTATCATTCTATTCTCATAACCTCATCATTTCACCTTTGATCATTCTTTTTTTTTTTTTTTAAGAGAGAGTGAGAGAGGGGAGAGAGAGAGAGAGAGAGAATTTTTAATGTTTTATTTTTTAGTTCTYGGCGGACACAACATCTTTGTTGGTATGTGGTGCTGAGGATCGAACCCGGGCCACACGCATGCCAGACGAGCGCGCTACCGCTTGAGCCACATCCCCAGCCCACCTTTGATCATTCTTAATTGTCTCGTACGAGTTTGGTGGGCGGGGGGACACTACATGTCTGAAACATAACACAATCTTTACACCTATCCTGTTTAACAATGTCATGGGGCTAGAGGTCTGCAGTTGTTTCCCTAAAACCCACTTCTACGTGCCAGGCAAGTTTTGAAAATTCTCTCCTCACAGGCAGAGGTGGCTTCTTGATCAATTGCCAGAAAGTTCTTCTTTCATCTAGAGGAAAGATGGACTTGATAAATTCTCACCAGGAAAACATGGTGGCACAGGTTCCACCCATTCCTTTTCTGGATCAGACCGACAGTATATGGTTCTAGAAACCAAAACCACATGGTTTAAAAAGCACTTTGTTCTTCTTTCTGGAACAATAAATCCAAAGTAGGAAGTTCAAGGCTGGCACAACTGTTCATGGAACCAGGTGACTTTTTACTTTCTCTAGTGTCATCTCCAGTGGGTGGCTTTCTTCTCCATGGACACAAGAAGTTTGTTCCACCACCAAGACAGCACCTTGGTGACGGCAGGGAGAAGGACAAAAGTAGAAAGACGCATGTTTGCAGTACAATTCTCCCTTTCTGTTTTAATCAGGAAATCAATTACCTTCCTAGAAGCTTCACCCTATTTATTACGTTTCTGCTTATGTCTTACTAGAACTGTGCTACAACCTCAGCTACAAAGAAGACAGGAAAGTAGAGTTCTTTAACTGGGCACACTGCTGTGCTAAACAAACGTGGGCTATTGTGTAGTAAAGACAAAAGGGAGAATGAATAGTGGACAGGCAAACAGCATGGTCCACAAAACACGAGACCTTTCTATCTGGCTCTTTGCTATTAAACACAGGGTTTCTGTTCTCACGACTAAAAGGCTCAGGGGTCACTCTAGTTAAACTGGRCTAACTGGACTGCACGAAATAACCACACAAGAGACACAAATACCTTTTTCTTTGGGGTCGCTGTGACGGCTCCTCTGACCTTAAGGGTCCGCAGAAAGAGAGAGAGAGAGAGAGAGAGAGAGAGAGAGAGAGAGAGAGAGAGAGCACACTCGCTGACCCCTTTTATTGAGGAGAAGCTATTCAAATGAGGCAAGGGGTCAGGTTTCAGGGGGCTGAGTCTGTCTTCATGATGTCCACTGTCAGCAGGTTGACTGACACCTGGGTAGGCCACACCCAAGGGCACAGTAAGAGGAGGGGACACACACAAGGCACTTCCATGGAAGATTCTATCCTAAACAGGGCAAGGGGTTATATTACAAAGGAACAGGTGAGCATAGCTTCACCCATGGGGCTGTAGCAAGACACACCCATTTCTGTGACTGAGCGCCTCAGCACCCAGTCAGGGAGTGTGACTCAGTCACATGTAAGGTTGGTCTCCCACAATTAAACATACATTGGAGGGCTGGGGCTGGGGCTCAGTGGCAGAGCACTTGCCTAGTATGTATGAGGCACTGGGTTCAATCCTTAGCACCACATAAAAATAAATAAAATAAATGCATTCGGTCCATCTACAACTACAAAAAATTAAAAAATAACTTGTAAAAAATACTTTGGTTACTTCACAATATTTGTTAGAGAATAAAGAAAGCCCCAAATGGGAAAGAACATGTTGCAATTGGATGTTACCACTTGGGCCAAATGTCAGAGAAAGAGGGAGGCAGGTTGTCTTGTGTCCAAGGAGCTTTACCATGGCCAAATCTTTGTCTAGCCTGCTAAGAAAGTGAGGGAGGGGTGCTGTGGTTTCTTCAATGTTCATATTTGATTTTGTACCAGGATTTAGGGGCAAACATATTTGATTTTGGACCATGGGGGCAGAGGGTTGAGTTCTTCATACTCATCAATGAGTTTATGGCACATTACTGTTACCGGTCTGCTGAATTCTTTCCCTCTCTGTAATTTACGTGCATTATTAAAAAATCACTATTCCTTAGTCTTCGATTCTTACTATCGGCAATTATGGTGATATRTTTAATGTGTGTGTAGTTCCTTTTTTCCTTTTCTTTTTCTTTTTTTTTTTTTTAACATGTTCTTATTTAAGATGGGCATACACTACAATTAACAGACCTCATTCTGTTTCTTTTCTACTGCAGAATTTGTTTTTAGGATCCATGCAAGTTGCTTTATATACATCAAACCAGTGTTTCTGATTGTTGTATTGTAACCCACAGAATGCACCCACCATATTTTAACCATACACTGGGTTATGGGCTGAATTGTGTGTCCCCTCCTTCCACCACAGAAAATTGATATGTCAAAGTCCCAAACCCTGTACCTCAAATGCAACCATATTTGAAGACAGGGTTTTAAAGAGGCAATTAAGGTTAAGTGAGCTCATATAAGTGAGTCTTAATCCATACAACTATATTTAAAATTGGACCTTCAAAAGGGTGATTAAATTAAACTGAGGTCTTTAGGTTGGACTGTAATCCAACTGTGTCCTCATTAGAAGAGAGACACTAGAGATGCACAAATACAAAGAAAAGGCCATGAGAGGACACAGAGAGAAGGTGACCATCAATAAGCCAAGGAAAGAGACTTCAAAAGAAACCAAACCTACACACTGATCTTGGACTCCAGCCTCCAAAACGTGAGAAAGTAACTTTCTGTTGTTTAAGCCACCCAGTCTATGGTATTTTGTTACGGCAGCCCTATCAAACCAAAATACACTCTCGGAAACACCTAGGTTTCTTTCAACTCTTCTGTTGAAAAGCTTTTGCATTCAACAAACCACTTTTACTGTGAAACTGATAAAGCTGTACAGCTAACATCTGAAAACCTTTTACTGCTATCTTACATAGAAAATGGGGAATTCAGTCTCTTGGAGCGCTAAATCTTTCATTTAGCGCCTTGTTAATTGAAATCCTGGTAAGGAGAAAAGAGCAATCCTATGCTCAAGGACACTTGATTGGTTTAGGTAATCCAGGGCATAAACTAATTTGTACTTACTGGATTGGCAAAAGGTAAAAACAACATCCTCACTCCTGATGTGAGCTTCAATTAAAAGGAACTCTTTTATGGAATATTACCTGACAGTTATTTAAGTAATGAGCTACATCTATATCTGTTTATTTAGAGAGATGTCCATGATATTAAATCAGAAAAAAAAGGGGTAAAGTACCATCTTTAGAAAGATCCTAATTTTATATTATGTATAATCCATGTCAGTCATGTAATTGACAAAGACTGGGTGAGGGTTTGACGGTATGTAATTGGATATGGTGTGGGTTGTCTGGGACTTACTTATCACCTATGAAGAACTCAGAAGACTGTTACTGGGATCTAGAGATCACCAAATATTAACCACACTCCTGTACTAATCTAAGCACTTGATATTTGACTCATTTTATTCTTTCACAAAGACATTTAATTTTCTTTTGTATTTTGGGGGGTATTTATTTTGTTTTTTGGTATTGGGGATTGAATCCAGGGGCACTTTACCACTGAGCAGCATCTCCAGGCCTTTTTATTTTTTATTTTATTTTTTTATTCTGGTTCAGAGTCTCTCTAAGTTGGTGAAGCTGTTCTGGAACTTGTGATCTTCCAACCTCAACCTCCAGAGTCATTTAATTTTCTTAACACCCACCTCCTTTATCGCTTAGGGATCTAATCCAGGGCCTCATGCATGTTAGGTAARCCCCCTACCAATGAGTTACACCTCGCAGCTATAAGGTATGTAATTTTCAAAGTTACTCTGGGGGTAAGCACTATTCCCCACCTCCCTCAACCCCTGCCATCTTGCAGATGGGTGCTCAAAGCTGCACCACTAGTAAGTAGCTGGCACAGGCTTCCAAGAAGAGCACTCTTAAGATCAGCGACTTGACTCTGCCCAACCGCTGCCTTAGACCGCCTCTCCTCACAGAGGCAGGGAAAGGCCAAGTCAAGTGCTTACAGTTGCTGTAGTGTGATGGGTGTGTACAGGGGGCGCTTCAAAGGCAGAGAAGCTCACTTCTCTCTGGAAGGGTCTGGGAAGGATACACAGATGAGGTAACCCTTTTTTTGAAAGCTGAGTAGGTGGTGTTCACCAGGCACACGGCGTCTCTCTCACCCGGCATCTTTTCGCGGGAGTAAGGCTCCAGTGGGGCTGCTATTATTGGAAGCCAGCGCGCGCGCGCACACACACACACACACACACACACACACACACACACACCCCACACCACACACACGCACATTCCTCAGTTCCAGAGTTCCCTCCCGTGATTCTCTGGCGGTCAAAGGTCTCAGGCTTCCAGAAATAGCTCCTCCCCGGAGAAGCCGCACCTTCCTGGCTACCGCCTTAAACTCAGCTCTCCGCTGCGCCTTCTCTTCCCCAGCAAGTGGAGTCTGCGAGATCTTGTAAGTAGACATCCCACATTCTCTTTTCTCTTTTCTCCCACTTCTCCCTCTCCTCCTCCAGGTCCTCCAATCCCTCTTTTTCCCTGCAGAAACGCGCCTGTTGAGGAGGGTTTGCGCTTACCCTTTCCTCTCCAAGCGCTGAAGGGGAAACTGGGGAYCCGGAGGTCCCAATGCCTCAGGTCCAGGCAGGTTCTTGGGGTGTTCGGGACGAGTGCTGGAGGAAGGGGCAAAGTCTGGCTGCATTTCCTTTGCACCCCATAGCCGTACGAACTGGAAAGGGGCCGCCAAGAAACTTGCTGGACTGCGAACCCCGGGAAGGAGTGAACGGGACGCAGCAGGATCGGAGCCTGCTTCGAGGTGTCTGTGCCGCACGCCGCGCACTGCACCAGCCCCCTTCCCTCCGAGGGCGCTGGCTTCTGCAGCCAGGCTCTTTCAGGGGGCGCTTTCGAGGCTTGTGGCGAGTTCAGAATCACCAGCAATTGCCCTTTTGTAAAGAAAGGCAAGAAACTGGAATTAAAAATAAACAAACAAAAACCCGGGAGACTCAGAAGGATTGAGAAAGTTGGTTACCAGAGTCTGGGAGTGGCTTGGGGCGGGAATGAGTTATTAKTGAAAGGTAATAACAAAGGGCCAGATAGGAGAGTAAGTTCTGAGGTCGGCTGCACGAAAAGGTGACTGTAGTCAGAATAATGTATATTTCGAGGGCTGGGGCTGGGGCTCAGCGGTAGTGCACTTGCCTGACATGTGAGGCTGGATTCGATTCTCAGCATCACATATAAATAGATAAAGGTCTATCAAAACTTAAAAAAAAAATAGTGTATATTTCGAAATCACTAAGTAAATTTTAAATGTTTCACCATAAAAATGTTAGGTAAATAAGGTGATGAATATGTTAATTAACTTGATCCAATCACTCTACATTGTATTACACATATCAAAACACAGCATCCCAGGTTTCAGAACGAAAAAAAAAAATCACGCTGTACCCCATCAATGTATAAAATTATTAGTTGACAAATAATATTATTTTGTTCAAAAAGACAGAAGAGCTGGGCTTGGACTGGACAGCCCTCAGCGCTCTCTCTGTAATGCAGACCTGTCCCCTCCGGGCTACAGTGCCCCCATTCCCGGGTCCTGGCCAGGAAACAGAGTAAGATCACTAATCCTGCAGGCTTGTCTGGTTGTCACTGGTGGGAAAGGCGTGGTTCCCACGTGACGTAGCCCAGTTTGGTGCCCAAATTCCTGACTCCAGAGCTCAGARCAGGCTTAATCATCTCTTGTTTTGGGGTGGAGGCAAGTTTAAACTCAAATCCTGATTTCCCCATTGGAACCAAAACTAAAGAAAATTAGCTCCTGAAAATGGGGCGTAACATCGGCGCCACCCAGTGGCACGCAGGCGTCCCTGGGACTGCCTTGAGATGATGGCACTGTCCACCTGAAAGAAGTGAATGAATTTGGTTTTGTGTTTGATTCTTTTTCTGAGGATTTAATTCATGGAAGGTAAGAAACTGGAAGTATTTTCACGCGGAGCAGATGGTCACTGTCCTGGAGAAATTCAGCCTAGTGATGCCTGGGAAAACGTTCCACGTCAGTTTATATTTTTCCTTTCTTTGAAGGTTTCTTTAAGTACCTGTACATTGGCAATGGTAACAATGCCTATCCTATAGGGAAGTTCTGGGGATAAAATGATATCATGTATGCAAAGTGCTTAGCACAGCACCAGAAGCAGTAAGTACTAAATAAAAGTGGCTGACGTTACCTGATAACATGAGAAGTAGTATGTGTAGCTGTGCTATCTGGCCTCAGTGCAGTGTGACTAGAGAACTGTAAGAATCCAGTCACTTCAAGGAAGCTGACCATATGTTTACTTTGTTCTAGGAGCTTCAGGATGGTTCTTGCTAAGAGGTGGACCCTGAAGAAGCACTTCAGTGGCAGCCCTACTAATAGTGACTTTGAGTTGAAGACTGCTGAACTCCCACCCTTAAAAAATGGAGGTAAGTCAGACCCCTGAGATCTCAAAATTGTATCGGCTAGCCTTTGCTGCATAACAAACTACCCCAAACCTTGGGGACTTGAAGTAACAATTATTGATTAATTCACAATTCTGAAGGTTGGCAGTTTGGGTTGAGTTAAGGTGAGTGATTCTGTTGGCCTCTCACTCACATGTTGATGGTTAGCAGGTTTTCTGCTGGGGTGCAGGCCTCATGTCTCCTCTATGAGGCCTTTCTAGTAGGCTAGTCTGTTCTCTATCTCAGTGGTCTCCTGGAATTAGAGCAGCTGGAGTTGACAAATTCCAACATGCAGTTGCTTTTCAAGCCTCTATTTGTATTTTGGTTTCTAATAACCCATTGGTCAAAGCAAGTTAGATACCCAAGACCATATTCAAGGGGAAATACAATTCTTTTTCATTTTTATGTTTTTATTTAGTGCTGGAGATCAAACCCAGGGCATTACACAAGTACTCTACCACTAAGCTACCTTCTCAGTCCCTGGAAATAGATTTCCTGATGGGAGGAGTGGCCAGAAGGCCCGCACAAAAGAGTAGGAGGTATTTATAGCCATTTTGCAGTCTGCCACACTGGCCTTTCAGAGTCTTACATATGAAGACCTTTCAAGGTCTCACATAACCTCTATGTCGTAATGGAGGATCCTCTGCTTTTTTTGATCATTGAAACTCATTCTTGGGTTCATTGGTCTTCCTGGCTCTGACAGGACCATGGGGAAAATGTCCTCTGTGTCCTGGTGAGCCTGATGATGACAGAGCATGGATTAAGAAGATGGCCCTAAGGGGCGTTTATGAGTGGGTACATTTTTGAGAAAAGAGGATGCAGTCAAGTAGCATGACAAAGTTATTTATCCCAGTTAAGTCGTGATGGTTGGGACTCAGATGCAGAATTCCAGAAAATTATGTGAATGAGGGTCATTTCAGCAAAATACACATTCTTTCATGATAATTAGGACAGGTTATGAAATCCTATGTGAGCATGATCAAACCCAGGGCATTACACAAGTACTCTCCCCTACATTCTCAGTCCCTGGAAATAGAATTCCTGATGGGACTGAGTGGTTACAGATGGGGCCCTGGGCAAATTACTTAACTTCAAATAAAATGGAAACAATAGTTGAGAATATCAAATGAAATAATCCATGTAAAGCAAGGAGTGAGTGCTGATAAATAACCACATCGTCACCATCATCATTGTCATTGTCACCATTACCATCATCATCAGCTAGGCTGGGCCAAACATGAGAGCCCTTCTTGTCTCTTCTATAGAAAGCACAGATGAGGGGCTGGGGTGTTGATCGGTGGTAGAGTACTTGCCTAGCATGTAGAAAGCTCAGAATCTGATCCCCAGCCCAGGGGAGGGGGTGGGGAATGGACCCTGAAGCAAAAAGATTATCTGCATTTATTTAGAGTGCCAAAAATGGCACAGGCACCAAGCCTTGCGTTTCTAACTGCCTGTGGAATACTTAATATTTTGTAGAGGTCCTGCTTGAAGCCTTGTTCCTCTCCGTGGATCCTTACATGAGGTATTATCTTCCTCCTCAAAATTCTTATGCTGTGTGATGGACCCTATTCTGAATTACTGCAATGCACCTTTTAAAATGCTCAAAGGAGATGCATAATTTTAATTTGATTCAAAACACTGTCATTTCTCTGTTTCTCCCAGTATTGTATCAATGATGGATTCACAGATGCTCTTCTGAGAAGCGTAATGAGAGATTAACATGGTTGCTTTCTTTTACAACCATCTTCTCTCTGCTCTGCACAATTTGCCTTTTATTGTTCACCAGAATTGCTTCTGGGGTGGTGGGAAATGAAAAAAAGAAGCTAAGCCCCAATTCACCCATTTCATTTGTGGTAAATAATTTGGACAGAAGTTGCTGAGACTAAAGCCAGATATTCTTGCCTTCCATTGGCCTGTGTTCTTTTAATTTAGGTAATCGGTAATTGACTTAAATTTATATACTAGTAAATAACTCGGGGTTGGGGGAATAAAAAGCCTTCCAGGCAACAAATACCTCAGTAATTTTTGCCAAAGTAAGTAATATATTCATCCTTCTTTTAAATATTTTTTTCATGCTGAGCATGGTGGTGCACGCCTGTAATCCCAGAAACTCAGGAGACTGAGGCAGGAGAATCACAGATTTGAGGCCAGCCTCAGCAACTTAGTGAGGCTTCAGCAACTTAGTGAAACCCTATCTCAAAATAAAAAATGAAAAGGGTGGGGGATGTAGCTCAGTGGTGAAGCACTCCTGGGTTCAATCTCCAGTACCAAAATAAATAAATAAATAAATAAATAAATTCAGAGTTCATTGATAAAGATTCAAATCTGAAGTGTAAAATGCAGTGGTTTTTTTGTTTGGTTTGGGTTTTTTAGTTGTCAATGGATTTTTAACTTTGTTTATTTATATTTGGTGCTAAGGATCGAACCAGGGCCTCACACATGTTAGGCAAGTGCTCTATCATTGAGCCACAACCCCAGCCCCTAAAATTCAGTTTTAAAATGTTAACTAGCATCTTTTTTTTTTTGGTTTGGCTAGTATTTTAGGTATATTTTTAAAGTTATTGATAGGAACTCACCTCCAATTCAACATGGTGGTAAGACTCTCCTGTCCAGTCATAGGAAGCTACTGCCAGAGTGCATCTTAGGGGTCACGGAACAGAACTGCCCCTAACCATTTCACCTGATTGTGCCACCCTTGTGTATCTGGGTTTTATTTCTGTACATACTTCCCCAATGGTTTGTTCATTTGGCTTGAAATTCAAGACGGTTTTCCCCCCATGCTCTTAAAACTAAGAATGGAATTTTATTTTTTTCAGAATAGCATCCAGAAAATTGAAGGAAGGTGATTTAATGATGGGGGAGCAAGTGGCCAGGTAATTATTTTCATTTGTCCCAGTGCTTGGGAAATACACTTCTTCCTGACCTCTTGCTGGGTTCTGTCTCTGTTCATTGCTCCTACTTGAGCCTGTGTAGTTCACTCACTTTTTGATTTGAAAAGCCCCTTGGGAGATTCTGCCCACTTCCTGACTAACCAAGAGGGAGGGAAGATGTGAAATTGTCAATCTTGCCTCACTCTGCCATCCTTACTTTTAATTACTGTCTTAAACAAATGTATTCATCCAATTCATGGTTATTGTAAAAACTCAAATAAACCAAAAATTTAATCTTGAAACTGAACGGTAAAGTCAGTTGTTGTTAATGGATTGTTATTTCAAAAATTGTTTAGTGCACATAGTTTTATATAGTTTTAAGTGGGAATATATGCCATTCAACAAATTGCTTTTTTCTCATTTAATATGTCATAGATATCTTTTGTTAACAGTATGTAAATATATAATCTACCTTTATTAAAAGTTGCAAATTATTCCATTATACTCTGACATTTAACAAATATGCTACTGATACAACTGTTTTTTTTTTTTCTACTACAAATAATTCTTCAGGGAGCATGTATGTATCTGTGTATTCTTTGTCCACTTGGAGAAGAAGGCTTTGCATTAAATTCTCAGTGATATAAATTCTAGCTCAAAGGAGATGCATATTTTTTTTTCTTTTTTTTAAAGAGAGAGTGAGAGAGAGAGGGGGACAGAAAGAGAGAGAAAATTTTTAATATTTATTTATTTTTCTTAGTTCTCGGCAGACACAACATCTTCGTTTGTATGTGGTGCTGAGGATCGAACCCAGGCCGCACGCACACTAGGCGAGCGCGCTACCGCTTGAGCCACATCCCCAGCCCCATGAGATGCATATTTTTAATTTGAAAAGTTCACCACAATTTGCCCTTCAAAAAGATAGTATGGGCCAGGCACGGTGACGCAGGCCTGTAATCCCAGGGGCTCAGGAGGCTGAGACAGGAGGATCACCAGTTTAAAGTCAGCCTCAGTAACTTAGTGAGGCCCTAAGCAACTCAGTGAGACCCTGGTCTCTAAATAAAATACAAAAAGGGCTGGAGATGTGGCTTCGTGGCCGAGTGCTCCTGGGTTCAATCCCTGGTAATCACCCACCTCCCCCCACCAAAAAAAAAAAAATAATATGAGCCTGGATATGATCTTGCACACTTGTAATCCCAGCTTCTGAGGTTGCTGAGGCAGGAAGATTGCAAGACTAAGGCCAATTTAGGCAATTTAGGGAGACCCTATTTCAAAATAGAATACAAAGGGCTGGGGATGTAGATCAGTGGAAGAACTGTTATCTAGCATACACAAGGTTCTGGGTTCAATCCCAGTACTGGGTTGGGGAGGGTTGAGTATTCACTCCCACCACCCAGTAGTTTTAAAGAACCTCTTTCCTTACACGTATGCTCATCCTTTTTTTTTTTTTTAAAGGAAATTCTTTCAGTATTTTTTTTTTTTTTTGCAGTTGTAGATGAACAGCATGCTTTTATTTTGTTTGTTTATATGTGATGCTAAGGATTGAACCCAGTGCTACACACATGCTATGCAAGTGTTCTGCCACTGAGCTACAATCCCAGTCCACACATATGCCTATTCTTTTCCATCTTGGTTTTGTTGTGTTGTGCTTTGGGGCTGATGTGCTGCACTGGGAATTGAACCCAGGACCTTGTGCATGCTAGGCAAGCACTCCACCATTGAGATTTACCCCCAGCCCTTTCCATTGGTGTTGACATTCTGAGATGAATTTGTTGATACTTCATGTGTAGTTTGTATTTCTTTCATTACTAGTGATGTTGACCTTCATTTTGTAAATTAATTATCAGTTTTCTTCTCTGAATTATTTATGTCCTTTGCTATTTTCTTTTAGGACTCTTCCTCTGTTTTATTGATTTGCAGTTTTTTGGGTTTTTTTTGTTTTTTTGTATGTCAAAGGCATTAGTGTTGCAAATATTTGGGTCTCTTTATCTTTCTACAGTATCCAATCATAATTAAAAAATTTTAAATATTTGCAATTATGGCCTTTTGATTGCATTTTATGCTTAGAAAACTTTTTTACCTCCAAAAGGGTTAAAATATTTATTCATGTTTTCTTCGATATTTTTAGTTTAATTTTACACTCAAATTTGCTAGTCATTTACTTTGTATGTTGGCATAAGGAGTGAGGTGTTTGTGTCTTCATGACTAGTGGATTGGCATAATCTATTTGTTCAAATCTTATTTGGATTTTTATTGATATTTCAATGACCTTGTAGATTGATTGAGAAGAAACTGATATTTTTATAGTCTTTCTCTCCAAGTACAGAGTGTGCTTTTCCATTTATCCATTTTGTGTTATATTCCATTACCAGGGTTCTTCCCACAGATTTTTTGGGGGAGTCTTGGGGGTAGGTACCAGGGATTGAACCCAGAGATACTTCACCACTGAGCCACATCCCCCTGCCTTTTTATTTTATTTTATTTTTGAAAAAGGTCTCACTAAGTTGCTTAGGGCCTCATTAAGTTGCTGAGGATGAACTCAAATTTACAATCCTTCTGGGATTACAGGCRCATGGCACTGCACCTGGCTTCCCATAGGTTTTATACATTTCTTGCTAATAATCAAAGAATGAATGTGTATTGTGTTTACTGAATTGGCAGAGACTTTTAAAATCATAATACTCAGTAATGGAGATGATGTGATGATACTTTCACTCATTGGGTAATATCCATTAATGGATGATGATACATTATCAGTCCAGAAGTTGGCACAACCTTCTAGAAAGAAAACTGTCAATATGCATCAAGAGTTACAGATGTTTTCATACTCTTTGACCTTGTAATTTTACTTGTAGAAATGTTGTCTAAGGAAAAAGTAAATTCATATTTATCAGTATTAATTAAAATGTAATTTACATTAGGAAGGATACTGGGAATAAAATAATGAATAATTGAATTCATTATAATTTTGGGGGGGGGATTAAACCCAAAAGTACTTTACCACTGAGCTACACCCTTATCCTTTTTTATTTTGAGACAGAGTCTCCCTAAGTTGCTGAGGTTGACCTATAACTTGCAATCCTCCTTAGCCTCCCAAGTCATGGGATTACAGGCATACACCACTGTGCCTGCTGCTTGTTATAGTTTTTTAAGGATTCTTAATGACATGGAGAAAATCAAAAATTACATAGACCAATATAGTGTTGATAGTTAAATTTGGTTACAAACGTTACTTCATATGAGCACAGTGACACACACCTGTTGTAATCTCAGCAACTCGGGAGGCTGAAGCAGGAGGATTGCAAGTCCAAGGCYAGCCTTAGAAATTTAGAGAGGCCCTAAGCAATTAGTAGGACCCTGTCTCAAGAAATAAAAAGGGCTGGGGATATAGCACAGTAGTAAAGAACAAAAGCAGAAACAAAGCCTTGGTTCAATCCCGGGTACCAAAAAAATATTTACTTCAGTTGTGTAAATATGTATAATATACATCTTAAAGGATATCACTAATATTTCCATAAAATACACAAAGATATTAGCAATTACCTTTGTGTTTGTGGATTATAACTGATATTTTTATCTTACCTGTTTTACGTTTTCTAGAACAAAATGTGTTATATAATCTTATGATCTGGGGGAAGCTAGTAAAGAATAGTGAGAGTGGGAAAAAAAAATAAAAGAACTGAGACGGAAATGGGGCAGCTCAGAGAGGGAGTCAGGAATAGCTAGGAGCAGTCAGTGTCCTGCAAACCCATGGGAAGCCTTCATGGTGAGCCTCAGTGTTGAATGGAGTACAAAGGTAAAATGGGGTAGTGATTAAAGGATGGCCACTGGATTTTGGAATCGGGAGGTTGTTGAGACCTTCATGGAACAGTGGTGGCGGAAGGCAGGTTATTAAGAAAATGGGAAGTGAGAAGGATTAGCTTCAAAAGCAGCTAGAAGGAGGAAGGTGGGACGATGAGAAGGAGTTTAAGAGGTGACAGAATGAGCCTGCGCACATGCTGAAGCAAAGGCGGTGGAGGGGGAGGTGTTAGCGATTCAGGAGAAAGGAAGGCAAAAGGTAGAGGCCAGGCCCTGAAGAAAAGAGGCTGCTGTCCAGGCCACCTGGAGCCAAGGAAGGAGGCTTCTTGCTTAAAAAGGAGAGAAGTAGGTGAGGCAAGGATGGACTTCTCTCTGAGGGACCCCGTGCGATGATGACTAGGGGTAACTGGAGAGGTGACAGGATACCACTCATGGAGGTCATCCTCGGGCCCATTCCTGAACACTCACAACACTAATGTCACAGCATCCCAGCCCCTACAAAAGGGAAGAGGTGTCACATGTCTTGATGTGCTTTTACCTTTCAGAGTTGTGGAAAGTAAAAACTCAGCATTCCCCAAAGGAACTCTTGTACAGGCTTATTTGGGCTGGACAACGCACTCCATTTCTGATGGGAAAGGACTGGAAAAGCTGCCTACAGACTGGCCAGATTCACTTCCACTGTCTTTGGCTCTGGGGACAGTAGGTATGCCAGGGTGAGTTTCATGAGTATATTTCATTTGTTTGAATGCCTGACCCTCGGGTTTTCCAAATTGGTTGGTCCAGAACTTGGCCCACAAGAACAGACATGAAGCATTATAGGCCTAGAATCAAAAACGTTGAACTCAGAGCAGAGAGGAGAATGGTGATTAGCAGGAGCTGAGGGCTAGGGCACTGGGGAAATGCTTGTCAAAAGATATAAAATTTCAGTTAGACAGGAATTTCAAGAGATGTACAACATGGTGCCTATAGTTAACAATATATTGTATACCTGAAAATTGCTAAGAAGGTAGATTTAAAATAGTCTTACTATGCGAAGTAATGTATATTAATTAGCTTGATTGAGCCATTCATATATACATATTTTTTTTCAAAACAACCCATTGTACATTATAATATATATACAATTTTCACTCATCAAGTACAAATTAATAAATAAAGAGAAGGAAAAGGTGGTCTAGAATTAGCCTTGATGCTGAAGAAAGGAGACGGGAATCAGACGCCCAGGTAGAGAGGAAGCACCATAAGAAGTGACATGGCACATGATCCCCACCAGTGGCCAGCACAAGGGATGGGGTAGAAGAGGATCTGAAGTTTACTTAGTTGAGAGGAATCACAGTATTGTTCAGTCACTCCGCCTGGAAGAGGTTTAAAATATGCTGATGGCCATATCTCTCAGGAAGACTCCTGGGTCTACACTTCAGTTCCCAGCTGAACTTTGAAACCTCAAATTTCCTTTTATGCCCTGGAGAAACAAGGCCATTATTGCCTTTAGTGTCCCCAAAACTTTGTCAGCCTGAAATTCATTTCTTTCCTTTCTCTAAGTGGTGTGGTCTTTTCTTTTTTCCTTCCTTCTCCACTCCTTATTCCCTTCTTTGAAGAGCTTCTAAAGAATGAAACAGAAATATAGACCCCTAAATGGTCAGTCTATTATAAAAACAACTTCCATAACCCCAAGTTCATATTCCAGTCAGAATTTGAACTCGGAGTCACCAGTGCCAAAAGACATTGTGAAATTAGAGGCGGCTCAATGACTTCTCACCTTCAATTAGTGGACATTAACCAGAATTAGATTGCATCCTGGTTTTTTCTGCCTGCCCTTCCTTCACTCTCCGCTGGTGATAGCTCTTCCTCCTACCTTGTCATCTCACCCATCCTTCTCTCTGCGCTGTGAGTCAGGTGGAGGAGAGCAGAGGTGAAGGTAGACCTGAGGGAACTTGGGAGCAAGTCTCCCATGACTCAGCCGGGAAGAAAGTTAGTTGAAAGCTATTAGGAGATCTTGACTCCCAAAAGAGAATCGGTGTGTATTTCTTATTCATCTCTTCTAAGCCTCTAAGGAATGCACTTTTACTCCCATCAATCAACTTTATGCCAGTGGTTCTCAATGACTGAGGGGAGAAGTTACATCATGCCTGTTTCTAAGCATTCTCTAGCAACATACCACCTATTTGTTGAGACTACCCGCCATGGTGGATCACTCCAATGAGATAGGTCAATTTTTAAGAATGCTTGGACCATTGCTAAAAATTATAAATGATGTTAAATTTTGAAATCAGTGTATTTCAACTGTCCACACTCCAGATTTAATATCCTCCCCCCCCTAAACTATTGTGTCATTCCCTTCCGTTTAGTTGAAAGACCTCATGTGTTTTGCTCTCTAGATTGTTGTTGTCCAGTCTTAGCCATAGTGTACCTTGATTTTCTCCCTAGGATTTCTTTACACCTGCCTATTCCATCTTATCTCCATTTGTTAGTCCGCTTTCTATCACTATAACAAAATGCCTAAGATAACTAACTTATAAAAAGAAAAGGTTGATTTTCGCTCATCATTTTAGAGGTCCCAGTCCATGATAGATCGGCCAGTTGCTTTTGGGCCTGTGGGGAGACAGCACATAATGGCAGGAGTGCAAGGTAGAACAAAACCATTCTCCTGTTGGCCAGTTAGTCAGAGAGAGAAAGAGGAAGAGACCAGCATTCCACTGGCCCCTTCAAAGCATATCCCCAATGACCTAAAGACCTCTCTCAAGGCCCCACTTTCTAAAGCCTCTGCCACATCTTAACAGTGCTTGCCAACTGGGGAATAAGCCTAAAACATGGGCCTTTGAAGAACATTTAAGATACAAACTGTGATTTATTCTCCAAGCCACTGTTTCTATGAAGTCCTCCTTAGTCCAAAGTTCACCTTTGACCTCCCCAAGAATTTCTTTTTTTGTTGATGTCTCCATCTTATCTCCATTTTATTTTTAAAAGAAATTAGTTTGGAAAAGGCCTTGTATATCTTAGGTCAATATACAAGCTGACCAGAAATCCCAAGGAGGTGGATTCAGGGAGGACAGATGTTGGGTGCCATGAGTTCATTAGTTGATTTCATCATTAGGTGAACATCCTAGATTATATTTACACAAAYTAAAATAGCTACAATGTTGCCRTAGTCCRGCTGGGTTAAATAACCGAGAGCTGACAAGCAACTTGAAGGTTGAATCTGGAACTACTTTATTGCGAGTGAACTCAGCAGAAACTGAGAACTCAAAGTATCGGGCACCCAAGGTAGCAGGAGCCGCTTCTTTGTGGGACAGCAGAGGTACATATACCCAACTAATTACACACAGCTTAACTTAATTGACATCATCTAGACACAGCAGTCAGTCATTAAGGAATCCTCACCATCTTAATGGCTCATTGGCGTTGGCTCAGAAACCACTCCTCCTAGCATACTGCCAGGCGCCATCTTAACTTGGTTGTGGCCCTCATCACAATGTCATATAATTTTATGGACCACTCCTGAACATGCAGTCTGTCCTTGACCAAAATATCATTATATAACTCATGACTATATTTGAATCCTCAGAAAAAGATATTACCTGTGTCTGTCACTGTCTTCCCCTTAGGGCCCAACTGTCATGGACCCCAAATATAAACAGAGGCTGAATAAAACAATGTCATGCTCTGCCGCAGTCTTGGCTGGGCACAAGATCACCAGCCACCACACACCTTGTAGATTCAAACAGCAATTCTTTATTCCCGAACTCACACCGGCCTCTACACAAACACGTTCTGGGGAAATCCCAGTTCTCCTGCACAATTCACATCCCAAATACTTTCTGAATTCCATGAGAACTCAACGGGAACTCAGGCAGCAGGAACACCCTATTCCCAGCAGCAATAACCTTAAACCTGGAACTTCCCTAAACCCAGATTGTCTTAAACCGGGAACGCCTTAAATCCAAATTATCCTAAACCGGGATACTTCCTAAAACCTGCAGGATACACCCTAAACCTGGATCCACCCTCRTCCTTGAGCAGGGTCACCTTTCTCAAACACACATGCAATGTCACAGCAAATTTCCAAGGCAAGTCCATTTAACATGGGGTACGCTGGCAAGGAAATTTCRATGCGTCATTCCTACTTGGCAATGGCCCTCAGCAATGCTCACATGTAGGTTCTGTTTTACACAGAAATAGCTTTAGATGAATTTGTCTGAAATTTTGCAGGTCCCTTAACTGTCACTATAATACATATTGATCTTTGGCACAGAACTTAAGGGTGCAGAAATACATCTTAAAAATTTATCTATGACTGAACTTCATTTCTTTCTCAGGCCCTTATTTGGGCCGGTTTAGTAAAAGAAAACATTTGGTGAGTTCTTGCTGGCAGAATGGGGACAACGTCTCCATCTTAATCGGTGTCAGTCTTATGCTGTTCCCTCTCAATGTCTTCCATTCCACCCCCTTCCAAGTTTCAAGCCACTGGGGTATGGTAGTGTCTTTATCCAGTCCCCACYGTGACTGTCTACACTGCATCTCTGTAGGCCCAGTGGTTCTTTCTTGGCAAGCTAACCTCACATACCACTTCAGGGCACATGGGGAAATTCAAAGTTCTTCTATACCTCTCTGGAGCTATCAGAAACTCAGGATGCTGATCTGAGCCTCTCATGCCTATCACAGCATAACGTCCACCCTGCAGCCAAGGCACTGTTAACACTGAGGCTTGCTCTGTGAAGCTCACCATCTCCCTAGGACTTACATGGAGACAAGGCATGAGTTCTCCATTCTTGGAGCCCCAAAGTTTAAGTCTTTCTTCATCCCTGAGATTTGACCTGAACATGGATGTGATGAAGCCCCATCCCAGCCAATTCTCTATTCCCTTCCTATTTCAAATCATCTGAATTCTTATCTGGGAGTAGAGAAGAAGGTGGACCAATCGTCATTTCCTGTATTTCTTACTTGACTGGGCCCCATGACACTGGGCTACTAAGAAATCCTTCAAAGTTTATATAAAAGAGGAACAAATCTGCTCACATATCCTGTTTTCTTTCCTTAGCCTAACTGCCTACTTTGGCCTGCTTGACATCTGTGGTGTGAAAGGTGGAGAAACAGTGTTGGTTAATGCAGCGGCAGGAGCAGTGGGCTCTGTTGTGGGGCAGATAGCTAAGCTCAAGGTAAGTGTCTTCCTCCAGCAACATTTAGTCAAAACCCGCAGAGCACATTGGGAATGCAGTGTGAACACAGAGATCTTCCCTAGCCTCGAGGAGTTTACAATCAAGTCAGTGGATCTTGCTTGGAAGTTAGAGATTGGAAAGTAGGGGAGATGAGGAAAACATGTTGCAAAGATAAACTGAATGATATTTGATAAAATTCAGGTATAAATCAGGAGTGGCCTCCAGTTTGAGTGGGATTTTGTAAGCAATAATTATTTTTTTTTACAAGACATTCTTTTGCCACAACTTAACCTCCTTTATTCATTACTGCATTGTGCAATAGAGGAGCTTGAAGCTAGGCATGGTAATCCCAGAAACTCAGGAGGCTAAGAAGGAGGAGTTCAAAGCCAGCCTCAGGAAAATCAAGGCATTAAGCAACTCATTAAGACCCTATCTCTAAGTAAAATACAAAATAGGGCTGGGGATGTGGCTCAGTGGTCAAGTGCCCCTGAGTTCAATCCCCAGTACCCCAAAAAAGTAAAAAAAGAGGAGCTTGAAATCAGCCAAAACAAGAATCATTGCCCACATGTGGCTCCATTACAAACTGTTGCACCAGCAAGAAATGGGCAGTGAGCACAGAGCAGTGGGGCTCTGTCCTGGGAACTAACTCCTGGAAGGCATTCAGGGCACAGAAATGTTGCCTCCTATTCTGGCAGGTCTCTGCTCAAGGGATCCAATCTGATGGTGGGTGTACAGGGCAATAGGCAGATTGGACCTGGTCAGGATTTGTTACCACACCGTTAAAATATTCCAAGCTGATCTAGTTTAGTTAATCTAGCTTTGTCAAAGGCTGGGATTTAGGACTCAGGACCTAGTTCCTAGGGTTGAGGTGAATGGAATGCTGATGGGTTCAGGGCTACACCCAACAGCCAAGGATGAGGGCTGGTCTTCAGTACTGATGGGGGTTTGGAATACAAATATAAGGCTGCCTTAGAGGTGGCAGAAATTATTTATTTAAAGAAGTAAGTAATTAAATAGGAATAGAGGTTGAATTTTATGAATGTCATTTCAGCATTTATCCCATTCATTTTGCAGTCACTGAGTTTTATTAATTTTCTAACATGCAACCATTCTAGTATTTACAGAATAAGTTTTATTTAATATGGTATGTTATAGATTTATACTTTTGGAGTTGACTTGATAATTTTTTGGTTTTGGTGCKGGGGATTGAAYCTAGGGCCTTGYGCATGCTAAGCACATGTTCTACCACTGAGCTACACCCCAGCTCTGATTCAATAATATTTTAAAGAGAATTTTCACATCTGTATTTACAGGTGAGTTTAAAGTTTTGTTGTTCCCCACTCCCACCCCAAACTGAAGAGTGTCTAGCCAGACTTGGTTTATGTTGGACTTACAAAATAAATAAGGAGTATTTCCAATACTTCAAATTTCAGGTGTTTTATTAAAAATACAAGGAATTTTTATTCCAGAAGTTTGATAGGATTTRTATTTAACCTTATGCATTTATATTCAACTCTTCTGTTCATTTTATGTAATTTTATCTTTTTACCCCATCTAAAAGTCTCAGTGTATTAACAGGTAAATTTAAGACACTCATACAAATTGTCAAAACTGGAATGTTGGGCTGGAGATATAGCTCAATGGTAGAGTGCTTGCCTAACATGCATGAGGTACAAAACTAAATAAATAAATAAATGAAAAGGATTGGGGATATAACTCAGTGGTAGAGTAACCCTGGGCTCAATTCCCAGTACCAATGGGAAAAAAATCTGTTTTATTTAAATTCTGCTAGTGTCTATATGCATATTTTCTATACAAAAACCAAACCTATATGTCTATGAACTTCTAATGTAGTATATTCTACTCCCATATTCTACATTTTGTTTTCAACAGTCTAATTTTATTTACAAAATTTGGGGGGGGGGTGTGGAACCAGGGATTGAATCCAGGGGAGCTTGACCACTGAGCCACATCCCCAGCCCCCCCCTTTTTTTTTTTAATGTTTTATTTAGAGACAGGGTCTCACTGARTTGCTTAAAGCCTCACCAATTTTCTGAGACTAGCTTCGAAGTCACATCCTCATGCTTTAGCCTCCCAAGCCCCTGAGATTACATGTGTACACCATCGCACCCAGCAACAATCTAATTTAAAAATTCCATATTATTAGGGCTGGGGTTGTGTCTCAATGGTAGAGCACTCGCCTCGCATGTGTGAGACCCGGGAT